TTGCACATTGAGTGCTTTCCATATATTAAGAAATGCTGACTGCAATAAGCTACTATTCTTTAAGAAGTCTTCTGTGCACAGGAAACTCCCAATACATTCTTTAGAAGAATAATTCCCTTTCTTCTTTTTAGTTTTTAAAGCTAGACATTGATAAGTACTACTTCCTGAGAGAAATTGCCTTTAAGTTAGATGACACAAAGAAGAAGAGTTCTATTTCTTTACAAAGGCAATGCACAACCATGTAAGACCCCTGGCACCTATACAGCTAATCCTGTTCTTGGAAGGGCTACATTCATGTAATAATTCTGTCCTGCTAAAAAGTGGGTTGTCCCAAACCCGGGCTGTTTAGCACGCAGACTTCAACATAATGAAGGCTGTAACTTTATAGGGAGTTGGAGCAGCCTGCAGTACCGTGAGCGGTGCATTCCTGAAACTCTCCTATACCAGTGTAATGTCAACAGAAAAGGCTGAGTGGTGATGTAATGTCTGAGGGCATGCCAGAGTCAAGACACTTTTTGTTTGATTCACAGGGTACAAGTTATTTCTCCCCACCCCCACCTTTTTTAAAGTGGGCAATAGGCAGTTGATTTTACAGCTACAAGCGTTATAGAGCCTCGCATTATCTGCACAGTGAAAAAAAGGAATGAGCTGATAGCATTCATCATTGTGACACATGCAACAATTCTTGAGCAAGAAAAGCTTTTGGTCTATTTTAGTTTGGGGGGGGGTTGTGTTTTGTGGGTTTTTTTTGTGGGTCTTTTTTTGCTGCTGCCCATCACCATGGCCTCTGAGGCTCCTACACTTAAAAATGCATTTGGGTACCTGAAGCCCTTCAATACTTCTTGTATCCTCAGATCCAAGAAAATACTTTCCATACCAGTCTAGCAACTAAAAATCGTTAGTATTTAAACAACATTTCCCAAATTCTAAAGCTGACAAGAATGGAAACTCCCCCAGTACCCTGACACAACTTGAGATTCTCACACATTTTACGATTTGTATGTAAACAAACACTTGTGCACACTAGGGTAAAGTCAGTGGGTGTTAGGTGCATAAATAAACTGCCTTTAAAATTCTGGGCCTGAATGCCTGTACCAGAAGGATAGATAAATTATGCTCTCACATAAATCTCTATAGCCAACAGAGGGAGTGGGCAGCTGAGAGTCATGCTTGATCCATCTAGCCTATCTTATCCTTCCTCCCTTCCACAGCTGCATGACTCCAGTGAGCTCCTGGATAACGCAAATGGCATACAATTTTGAACGCGTTTATCTACCAACATCAGAGCTCTCCTACAAAGAAAAGAAAAATCAGTGCCATGTGAATGAGGTCATTACACGCCATGACATGGATAAAAGAGAGTTCTGAGAGGAGCAAATGAAGGCAATTATAAATGGGTGCAAATAAAACACCAGCTAAACATTGCCTCTCAAACTTTGGTAGTTGTAAGAAACAAGAAAAGTCAGACTGTGGCACTTCTAGGAAAAATGCTTGCATATACTGTTTGCTGATTTTAAAATCAGGTTCACAAGGACTAGGGCAATAATGCTTTTGGAGGGAAACAACAGTTTGCAAGGACACAAAAAGAAGCAAAGCTGTTCATCCTCCAAGATCCCTGTCACTTAGCTTGTGCTACAACCCACACACCCAAAATACCTGCAACAACTCAAAACCATCTAAGCATTTCAAAATGTGTTCTTTTAAACTTAAAAAAAAACTAACAAAAAAACTCATTGGGGTTAACAGGTGAATCTTTCTGAGTTTTGTTCCTTAAAGCATTAATGATATTTCATACTTTGTTAAGAGGTTTCAATCTACTTGCATCACAGATGCTCCAATAAAACAAGCTGGCATGCAGATCCCTGCACACCTGCTGGTAGCAGGCTCCTCTCTAGAGTGACAAGTCAGGAGTTCTGGATCCAGGTCCTGTTGAGTACCTGTCACAATCTGTAGGCACTAAAAAGACAATACTGAGAAGAGATTAGTGTACAGAGCCTAGCTGCCATCAACAGACAAATCAATCAAACTGTTCCCCAACTAGTAGTCTGTGTTTTATTTGTGCAAAGAAATTGTATTAATTTAACACACATACCTTGTCAAAGTAAGAATAACACATCTGGTCATTATCGGAACTCAAGTATTTAACTTCTTAAAATATAAAGGTGATCTCTAAGAGAACTCCTAAGTTGTGTGCTTGCAGCTCAGAATCTGTTCATTTTTGCCATACTAGAATCCAACAGCTCTGTATGGAACATGGTGTTATATTTACCTTCTCTGTAGATTTGCACCGTTGTGTTACAGCAAGCTTCCAAAGGCAAGTATTAAGATACTAACAGGTGTGGGTTTTTTAAACCCCGATGGTCATGATTTACAGGAAAACTTCCTGTGAGTAGACTATTTTCCATGTACAAACTTCATACATTAGCAAAGGCTGCAGTTCTGCAAGGAGCCGAGTCTCACAGCACTGAAAGGCCATCTCTCCCCCGCCCTCTGATCCCTTCCCTATATCGCATTCAAATGCTTGCCAGAACCCTCTGAGTGTCAATGTAAGTCATTAATCCAGAAAAAGAAGTAAATGCTTCTCCCAGGTTAGGAAGTTGAATCAGTCTGGCATCACCTCGGCTGGATAAGAAAGCCCCCCCGCTTTCAGCAGTTCACTTTTTTCGAATGCAACTGCATTCTAAGCACTGATGAGTTAAGGATATCCCTTTCTTGTTAGGGTTAAAATATAGAATGTAAATGCAACTTTAACAGATGAACTAACTGTGCAGACAACACATAATAGTTTTTGAACACAGGAGAGGCACAATTTTAAATTACTAGGCTCTTACTTCATACTTACTATGAAGTATTAAAACCTAACTATTTAAGACAGCTTAAAAGAGGAAAAAAAGATTGAGTCATCAGTTTAACAAAGATGAAAAAAAAAAAAAATCGAAGACAGAGAAAATCAGAGGTGCAATGAGAGAAAACGTCTGAAGAAGGCTTTCTACCACAAGTGCCACTCATAATTTGAACACAACTTTCTTATCCTTAGATCCCTTCAAATGAGCCTTAGCCCACACAAAGTTTTGATCCTACAAGGAAATACAAGCAAGGAATTCTATGAAGCTCACTTTGCACGGATCTCGAATGAAAGACACTCTTTATTAAGGCAAAGGACAGCAATATTAAATGGGAGAGGGGGCTGGAACCAGATTAAATTGGAAACAGATTTATTTCTTTTTTTGGTGAATTCTCATTTGCGGGGGGGAGTCTTGTATACATTATTTCATACTCACAAAACTCACCAAAAAGCAAAAGCATATTAGTTGTATAGAATGGCAAAACTCAAAAAACATTGTAAATTTTTTTTATTCACCTCGTGTATCTTACAGTAGGTTCCAACTCTAACCTTCTTTTCTAGATACACCTGGAATTGGAATTGGGTTCTTTGTAAAAGGCAGTCCCTAAGGACTATCCATAGTGTTGACAATGGTAGCCAGCTGAATTTGAGCATTACTGGACAGTTTCAGACATATACAGTTGGACCACATGTTGGCATTTTCTGTGACTTCATTTTTTTTTTCCTTCCAGTTAGAGGATGGGTACGAGCAGGTATCTAAATGTCAAATTCCACATCTCTCTAATATTCCATATTAAACTTCATCTTGCCTATAAGCTTCTTACAGCATTTATATGGGAACATAAATGTCTTTTGCTCTGATTTCCAACTGGTTAGTAGCATTATGTGCTGCTGCTTATCTGGACAGGAAGTCCATCAAGCCAAAAGAATATCAAGTTTTTAAAAAATGCAGGCTTCTGAAGTACCACATCAACCTGATAAAGAACAGCCATATTCTTCCCATTAAAATAACACCATACCCATAAGAAAATGGCTTTTTTTATCTAGATCTTCAGTAGCAGAAGGGAAGCTAACTATATGTCAGAGTGTACACAGCTCTACTCTGACTTCCAGAGGAGAAAAAAGTGTCATCTTAGGCTGACTAAATAATGGATCAAAATCATTGGCAGTTTTCTTCTTAAACAATATATGTGTTTTCCCATTCTCTATAGTAAACCACTCTATTTTTTTAAGATGGTTTCATTACTGCATTTTCACACTCCTTCTGCCGAAAACTATGCAAAACTCAGAAACATTGCTCAGGTTCAGTGACGTAAATATATTTCCTACCTGCAGTCTGAAAGAAGCTCAACTCTGCCTCCTGCAGCATCAGCAATAGAATTAATGATCAAATTCTGACTGCAGGAATTTTACTGATGACAGCAAATAAATTTTCAGATCTTAGTTCTATACTATCGTGGCTTGAAAATACATTTTTTGTCCTAAAACAGTGTTAGTGGTTATTAAATACAGCTGTCCAAAGAAAATATCCAGCTCCAGAATCATACAAACTGCTGTTAGCCACTTTATATGCGACCTATTTCTTTGTGATTAGTAGTAGGGACAGAGTCCTGCCTCAGTGAAGTAACAAACTATTCCTTCCTAACTACCCACCATCACCACGTACAGAACACTGAACCATAAAGACCTATGATCTGATCCAGTAGTATAATATTAAAGGAGAAACATTATAAATTGAAATAAGAATCAATAACTCCATCCGCAATATTTATGTTTTGTGGTGTTGCCTCTACTGCACTCAGTAGCAATATTGAAATGAAAGGAAGACGCTTCCTTAACCTATGTAGATAATATTGTCTGCTCATGGTTCTAAAATCATATTCATTAGGCCTAAAAAGTCTCTGCAAATATTTTTCTTGTGAATATCACCTTCCAAGTAAGTATTAGATCACATCAAACAAGAGGTAAAATCTATCATGTGCTTTGGTATAGGTTTTTCTTCTTTCAGAGCCTACGCTGCAAACCAGTTCTCGGGTAAGCCTACACGTGTTCTCTCTCTTGTTTTATCTCCTGAATCAGAAAAAAACCTTACAGAGGTGTTTTCAAACACTCATGGCAACTCTGGAGACTCGGGACAGCATTACTTGCTTATTACCTGATCACGATCACCTGCAAAACAGCAGCTCTTCATAGTACATGAGTTGAAGTACCCTTGGTTGTCAAACTGGAAGACAGGCAGCCGGCAGTGGATGTCGTAGAGGACCGGGGGAAGGCGCCGACGCAGTGCCAGCAGCTGGGTTCCATTGCTGTTGAACCGGACACTCATGGCACTCTGAAGGGAGAGGTTTCCACCATAGCGGAGCAGCGAACTAGGAAAAGACAGAGGAAACAAGTGAGGTGGGCCGTGCGTATGAACTGAACTACTTAAAGACAGAACTCTCTCTTTAACCTTACTGAGCCATTTCAAATAAACAAGCCCAGTAAACTATAATCTTACATAGTTTCTGCTTTAAAGCATCAATTCCTGAACAAACTTGATTCAAAACCTGAATGACAAACTATCAAAATGCTAAGACTATAAAGTCTTCAGCAGAGTAAAGTTAAAGACTGTGAGTAGTTTTGTTAATAACAAATACATTTTCTGCATAGGAGCAAAGTCTCACCGAGTAGCCTTAGCCTTAAATAGGCTGTTATTATACATCTGGGATGTCTGCATTTGAGACCATACCAGCACTCAGCTCTTTTTGTTCAGCTGGTACCTGAATCCAGCCAGCCCAAACTTTTTTTTCCCCTCTGCTCTGGCACCGGATGGCATTTTCTCCAATTGTAGATACTCTGACCATTATCTCACTTCTGCTTCTATTTACATTTCTACAGGGCATTGGAGGATGTTTGAACTCTACAATCAGTTTCAGCTGTCTTAAATAGAAGGCCACCTTACTAACAAGTTATTGCAAGAAATGCTAAAATAAGTCACTTGGCTAATCTCAAACTTGCTTCATCTAAAAATATTGCCAAGTAGGCAAGGCAATTATGCTACCACATGACACTATTACCTAAAACTCTCACATGGTTGAATTAGCTAGTTTCCTCGTCCCATATAAGGCTGTATGATCAGAGATGGAGTATTTGTATCAGTTCTTATTGACATATACAAGACAAAAACAAAGGGTCACAGGTTTCCAGACTCTCTCTTTACAACAATAACAGAATGTGAAATTTGTTCCATCCAGGAACCTAAAGATAATCAAAGCATATCTGAAATTCAGCTTGCATTGTACGGGCTTTCTGTTTTTTTCAAAGACTTAATTCAATCCCTGTACTTGAAATGATTGTGTGTATGAAAAGGGAGACAAAGAAGGAAGACGTTTTATCCCTTTTTTGTTCAGTGATCACTGAAACCTCCTTAAGCAGTACCAGAGCTCAACCTTTTGTTAACAGGTTTTGAGCAATCCCCATCAAATCTTGTTAAGAGCTGTGACTTCTATGCACCTTCTGGACCAAACAAGGCATGCCAGCACAGAATGTGCAGATTCTAGAGAGAAGTTTATTCATAGATTTTAATGCATTGTACTTTCTGATGTAGCGCTCTGCCCCAGCATTTGTGAAAAATGAGTCACTCCACATGGATGGGAAGCCACATTCCATGCAGGCTGAAGCATGCATCATTATATGCTTACTGTTAAGTTGAAAAACTGTTGTTCCTAAGCCAGAGTCAAACAAAACCAAAAACAAAGTAGAAGACTCCGCATAATGAATGCACTAGAAATACACTGCTCTCGCACACAGGCACTTCGTGAACTGAACAGTCAAAGCCAGGGTGCCACAAAGGAACCAGAAGTCACATTTTCAAAGCCAACTAGTAAGAGCTTCAAGCTGGGCACCAAAATTTCTGAATGCCTGTATCAGCATGAAGAGTCCTCCTGCTCTCTCACATGTCTGTGCGTTCATCTCCTCCTATGCAAAGTTGCTGAGCTTCTCTTAATAGGGTTTATGGTTTTTAATAAAAACATGAGAAAATTTAATACTAGAAATTGTAACCTTAGAGACAAGGATTTAAGATCCCCCTCATCAGCCTTAGTTTCTGTTCATCAAGATCAATAAAGTACTCAGCCAGCTCAAAATACTCAGTCAGGCATTAAAAAACAAAACGCCAAAAAAACCCCCAAACACACGACTCACCCCCGTGATAGGTTTGTGTAAGCCAAAAGTTTTTTCTATGGAAGTTTCCACTTCCTTAAAAAAAACCCAACCAAACAAAAAAAAACCCAACAAACAAACACACACCACAAAAATTAAACAACAACAACCACCACCCAACCAAAATCTCAATCCAAAAAACACGCAGAAGAAATAAACCCAGATGGTTTTGGCTAAGAAAAGTCAATTTTTCTACAAAAATCTACGAGTTCTCCACCATAGATAACAACACCTTAACATATACGCACCAACCAGACTTAATGTTAAAGTGCAGCCACCTCTGCACCAAGACTAAGCCCCTCTCCTCACTCCCTGTTCTCCTCCTCAGTCTAAACCGCAACCTAGAATTCTCTCCTGCCCACAAGTGAGCGAGCCTACCAGATGCCCCATCCTTTCAAATCTTCAAGTAAAGTTTCCATGGTTACTATTATTATGCCCTGCCTGAAATATTTTGAGATTATATTTTATAGTAATAGTAGTGTAATATTAAACTAGCTTCCATTCTGCTTACAGATGTTTTCCTCAAGCTCCTATAGCAGTCAAAGCTATCAAAGAAAACACCTCTTGGAGTTGAATTCTGAATTGTGTTTCAGTAACTTCAGTATAACAAAGCCCTAAAAGGATATTTTACTTCAGAAATTAAATGAAGTAAGAAAGGCTAGAACTTCAGAAATTATGATCATATACACACATATGAAGTCTAGAATTAAAGAGCTGCGTAGTTAAGACTCCTCAAAAGATCCACAGCTTTGCCTATCTCATACCCTCATTCCACACAATTCAGTGTAATGGAAATACAGTTTGTCCTGCAGTTCCTTGAACATTTGGCTCAAAGGAAAAAGAAAACAAAAACAAAACCCCAAAATCAAAACCACCTCCAAAACCCCAAACTCCACACTAATAAAACAGGCAGCAGGCTAAGTTTGGCTGATAGAGAAAGAAATGCTAAAATAGCCATTTGCCATTCATATATGAGAGCAACATGTCAATGACTTTCCCCACTTGCCTCAATTCTGCCCCCAAAAATCAGACTCTATAGCTCTAAGTGCAGCATTTTGCTGCACTAACCACAAGACAATGGTTTTCTGTTTTCCCCACCCTGCTGTGTCCTGCTTGCTTCCTCTCTGCCTCTTTGAAAGGGTCTGTTAAATGAACTGCACAGTGTGTTCCCTTAACAAGCTATGAAAAGAGGCAGCAGGTAGGTAGGTGGGGATGAAGAGAGACAGACTGACACCAAACCCCCCGAAACATCCATTTCCTCACCCAAATAGAGGAGAAATATTTGCTCGCTCTCTCCTCCTATGGAAGAACGCCTGAGAGATATGTTCAGAAACACTGGGGGGGGGTGACAGGACGGGACGGGAAAGCAGTATGGAGGGAGTGCGGCTCATGGCTCCATCTTGGTGAAAAAGCTAGGAACCTAGCTCACAAATAGAGGACAAAGGATTTGAGAAGCCTCTCTTCCTCTGCCTCCTAATGCAGGCAGTGCACATCGTAGCAGTATTTAGAACTGAGGAACCCCAAGACTTCAGTATCTTTCATTATAAAATTTAGCTGATTATAGAACAACCACACTGGCTTTAGGGAAAAAATAATAATTGCCCAACATGTCTTCTAGACTATTCCACCTCCATCAAAATTCCAGGAAAAAAAAAAAAGGCAGTCAGCCATCTCCAAGAAAGAAGCTGGGGGAAGTTATCTTATTTTTTACAGTATGAAAGCAATACTAATACTCATTAGTACTAAGAAGGATACCTGAATCGGGAAGCTCTAAAGATCTTCAAACTAATCAGAATGAGAGCTTTTGCTCTTTTTCTTCTTTTGGGGTGGGGAGGGAAGAGGAAGGGGAGAGCTGTGTTTGAGCACGTTCAGTGTTCAAATGCCTGTCTCTGCTTCCCTGGTTGCATCATGGTGCTGCTCTGTACCTTTAGTCAGTGCCACTTCTGGATTTTTTCACACAGGATTACGTGGGGCAGTATAGACATGCTTGGATACGTTGCTCATGTTAGAACTGCCACTTCTGCCTGCTCCTTATTGCATGCTCCAGCAAAGGAATTTCAGAGGCAACACCTTCTTGCAGTTACTAAAAAGTTTACTGATGCATCAGACTAAAAGCAATACTCTCCTCTCGAAGATACAGACCATGACAGCTAATGAGAAATCTGAAGACAATCCTAAAAGGGCACCCCTGAACAAGATGAGCGCCCTTCCTGCCAGAGGCATTATCTTTATGAATCTAGACCCAGACTACTCTGGGATTTAGTCTGCTTCCAAATTTGGCTCAGCCAGCCAGCCGTGGAATGCTGATGTTGCCTACCAGCTCTGGAAGCAATATAAAGACACATGCACTTCTGAGTTTTTAAGAAAGTCATCTTGTATGATTAAGAGAAATATTTAGTCCACAGATGGAACATTACAATCCAAACACACATGCTGGAGCTGGAGGGAGGCTGAGGAGGGAGAGAACGGACAGTTATGTGCAATATGGTCATTTCTGCAGTTGGATATGCTGAACACAGGCAGCACTCAAGTGTTAACTAAATACCAGCTCAGCCAAACAATGGAAGGCTTTCAATCCAAGAGTAGCACCACTAATGTAAATAAATCCATTTCTACTGGCAGCTAGCGGGGTGAGGGAAGAAGTAGTCTCGCTGCACTCAGAATTTGCAGGAAAAGTCTATACCTGAAACAAGCGTTCCCCTCTCCTCCTCTCTCCCCTTTTCTAAACAAAGAAGTTGTTTCATCCTTTTTTGAAAAGGCAACTGCCTGAGTGGTAACATAAACTTAACCCAGGCTATTCAAAAGTTAGCTTGGCAACAGACAGTGGCCATTAAAACTGAGAGAAGATCAGTGTCTTGGTAGAAATAAAACAAAAGCAGCATGCATGACAGCATTAAATAGAACCATTAAACAAAACCATTGAATAGCTTCTCTTGATAAGTTACAAATCTGACAATGAACTGCAGTACAGACACTGTCCTAGGGAAATTAGCGTCATTTAAGAGGGAGAAGGAAGGAAGGAAGGGAGAAAGTGTTGATATCATGAACAGCAGTGTGTGAAACTAACTTAATGAAAGAATGACCTTAAAAGGAAAAAATGAATGCTTGTAACTAATACACACCATTGCATACAACTGTGTTTGTCAGCATTTCTGTAACCACAAAAAAT